TGAACCGCTGAACCACTAAGAGCGTGCAGGGAGGCGCTTGATAGAGGCATCCACTGTCAGCATCACGCTGATTGCGCAACTGGAGATTGGACAAAAGAAGGGGCATAAATCAGTTGCTACACAGTATGGGTTTTGTCACGTCCAGAAATTTAACCCTAAATTTCCAGACTATTTTATAAATTAAATCCCTGTCCAGTACCAGACAGGGTACACAGAACGACAAGTAATATACAGTTCCAAACGTAAATAAAGTGTGAAATACTTACAGAAGAGGCACTTAGTCCTCACACCGAAAGGGAACAATAACAGCGGAAAAAGGCGATCCTAGCGGGGCTTCAGCTCCACTCCACAGGCAAAACTCAACTGGGGTCTGAGTCTTGGTCCTCTAACTTCATCTTTAGCTCAGAAGCACTATACTTCAGAAAATAGGGAATAATAGTAAGCCTGAGTACAACCACCGTACTCAGCAAGCCACACCAACGATACAGACGTGTAAGGGGATTCAAGAATGGCTTGTGGCTATTTGCGTAAAGGCAATTGTAAAGCATTTTATTAAGCAAAACAGTAAAACGGTTGAGTAATTAAGGCAAGATTAAATCTCCACTGAACAACGCTACACCACGTTGAACAGGCCCAACCAACCCACCTGAACTACAATGCATTGAGTCGATTTATTAAGGTGGGAATGTGGGACTAATTACGGTGAATCTGGTTGATCACCCATAACCGCGGGCACGGCAATTCGAATAGTTTTACTCTGGCCAGAGGTGCACAACTGTACTCACAAGACACAATCTACCGGCATGTCACCGTGCCTGCGCAGACACGTCACTATGTCGAGTGATTGTGACAAGACCCTCCGCATAACCCTCCCCTAACCATCCACACTACGCTAAGATTTCACCCCCACTCCCTACCCCGGAGGTGGGCAGTCCCCTCGTGCGCCGCGGTGAATCCGGCAGCTGGACAACCGGACACCCCGGCCGATCCAACTCCATCACGCCCACCCTCGCCACCGGTGCCTAGGAAAGGGTCGAGCTATACTTCAGATCAAGTAGTTATCCACTCCCGCTTGTGGCAAGTGTTGTAAGTCTTCCAGGGTTTCCCGTGAACCGGTCCTTAATTGCCATGGGTGTGACTCACAAAACCATGCACCCACAGCCCACCATTCAGTCGCATTTTAGTTGGATAATTACGACCATGAAACTTGGCCAGATGTCTCGAGCACACAGCTCATCAAGATACTAGAATGTCTGATACTGCAATTATCCCATCGACTGAGCTAGTGGTAATTAAGCATGGTTAAGCATATAGTTCTAGCTAGGTTAACATAAGTAACACAAGCTAGTCGATTTATTACCCAAGGTTGACAAATGACAGATATCAAGTAAACATGACATAAGCGAGCAGATAGGTAAACCGGATTCCCATGTAATTAGTAAAACATGCATATTTATTTGCAAACGGTAAAACATTTATAAAATAGGCTCAATATGCTCAAGGGGAATGTGTGACTTGCCTTGCTTCTTCGAAAGAATCTTTCAAACACTTTTCCTCACGACCGCGATCTTCCGAAACGACGGGAACTACACGCTGGCACGCAAAATGAGGAAAAACTCTAATAAACACCAAGCAAACAGTACATAAAAAGTAAACAAACATGTAGAGCTCAATTTTATATGAATTTTGCAAGTTGAATGGCTCAATTTGGAGTTCGTATGAATTAGATATGAATTTTAGAAGTTTTGAGCCATTTAAATGGATTTTCTAGAATTATTATCGATTTATTGCGCCAATATTAAATAATTTTCTTAAAGGAAATTAAAGGTTATTGCATCAGCAGTGGGACAGGTGTGGACCGAGTCCACCAAAGGTGGGCCCCACGCGTCAGCCAAAAGGGGAGGGGCGGTGCACCGTGGACCGGGACCACGGGTGGTCCACGGGCGACCAACAACAGGTGGCCTGGCAGGGAGACGGGTTGGCTCACCGGCCAACCCGAGGCGACGGCAGCGGCGTGCGGCCGGACGGCGACCACCGGCGATGACACCGGCACCGAGCGGCGGCACGGGAAATGGGGAAGGAGAGGAATAAATGGAGAGGAGGAGGAGGGAGGGCGGCTCATCGAGAGATGCGGCGATGGAGGGATTCGGCCAGCAGAGCTCGGGGCGAAGGGAGGCGGCGGCGCTCCGGCGACTAACAGCGATGGCGGAGGGGTGGTGGGGCGCGGTGGAGATGGTGGTGGTGGCGGCGCTACGCGGCGACGGCTATGGCGGCGGTGGAGCTCGGGTTCGCGGTGGAATCGGGGCTCCGGTGATGGTTTGGGGATTTGGAGTGGCGGCCGGTGTGCGGGGCAGCGCGGCGAAACCGAGGGTGGCGGCGGATTTGTGTGGCGATGCCTGAGGCGGCGAGGAGCGGCGGCTGGAGGCGACACGGACAGCGGCGGCTGAATCGACAGTGGAGGTGGCGACTCGGTGGCGGATTGGAGGAACGAAGCGGTGGCCGGCTTCGGCTCGGCGCAGCGGAGCCAATGGTGGTGGTGGCGCGGCGCGGCGACGACAGGAGCGGCGGTGGCGCGCGGCTGGTGGGCTCCGGCGTGCGGCGGGGGCTTGGCCTTGCGTGGGGAGCGCGGTAGGGGGCGCGAGGAGCTCGGGCGAGGAGGAGAAACGGAAGAGGGGAGCACGGGGGTCGTTTATATGGGGGAGGGGAGGCGGGATCGAGCCCGGGAGAGGTGGAGTTGCCGGCTGGAGTGGGGTGACGATGTGGAGCTCGTGGGGAGGTCAAACCGGCGCCGTTCCTTGCGGGGAGAGTGGGGGAAATGGTGGAGGACGTGGAGGGGGTCGTTCCCACGCGGTTTGATTGAGGGGCGCGGGCGGGGTGGTGGGGGATTCAGCAGTGGAGTGGGGGCGGCAATGGCGGTAGTTGCCGGCCAGGCTAGAGGTCGGGGATGACAGGTGGGGCCCTGTGGGTCCCACCTGTCGGCCTGAGTGAGAGGGGAGGCCGGGAGGGGGCGATGTAGACTTGGCAAGGGGAAGGAGGGGACTGGCCGAGCGGCGGGCTGGGCCGGGAAAGGAGAGGGGGGGGGAAAGTACACCGAAGGCCCCTGAACTTGTCATCGAGTTACCAAAACGTCCTCAAACCGCAAAACCAAACATCAGGGGTCCCCTAACTATCGAAACCGGGTCAGTGTTGGTCCCAGGGCAGTATTGTGCCTGGTTTTGTCCTACGTGGCGCATTGACCATGGTCTTCAGCGCTGAGTCAGCAGGGGCGACGGGGTTTGATGCTGAGTCAGCAGGGCGGTAGTTAGGCCCGTGGCGCACGGCGGACTCGTCACTCCTCACTCCTCACTCGTGTGAAAACTCTAGATCGGGACGGCCGGGGCGACGCTGCTGGCGACGAGGTCGATTTGCAGCAGGCGGCGGTGGAAGGGACGGCGGAGTGTCGCGCCGAGTTGGTGACTGGTTTGGCGCAGCCGCCGACAACATCGAGCTCGACCTGGATCTGGTGGTGGCCTAGGCGCGTCTACCGGCGGCCACCTTGGGGCGACCTCGGTGGGGAGTTGGAGCCAGGTGCGGCGGCCGGCGGGGGTTTCATCGGCGAGTATTCCCCCCGCAATCCGACATCCGAATCCGGCAGGTATTCCATTTCCTCTCTGAGTTTGTGTGGTTGCATGGTATCAGTGGGATGTGGGAAGGAATATTTTTAATGATTTTCGATGTTGGGATTTGGTGTTAGCTGCAAGTTATTTATTTAGGTTTGTACTTGATTAGGGTATGTTTAGGCTTAGTTTAATGTAGAAGTTAGGATTTGGTACTAGGTATGCATGTGTAGGACCATTTGTTTTTGGACCGAGTGTAGGACAAATTTAAAATGCTCTAAGTCAATTTTATATCTTGTTCTGCATGAAGGGGATGGACGTGTTGGACACTCTTATGGTTAGGTTTCATCTGAAGGGGGTATTTGTTTTAGATGGGAGTGAGAAGAAATATTGTGGTGGATCTGAGGCTCTGTCATATGTAGAAAGAGACAAGGTTTCTTTGCCCGAGCTATTTGGACACCTAAAGGACCATTGCAATGTGATGTCTGGGACTTTGCTCCACTGGTTGTTTCCTGGTAAAGATTTGCAAACAGGTCTTCGTGCTCTTTCTAATGATAAGGCTTGCAAACTGATGTGTGAATGTACTGGAGAATTGGATGTAGCAGATGTATATGTTGAAGAGCCAGAGATTGTTGATTTGTGTAATGGGTCTAATGATGACAGTGATTGGGAGGCATGGAGTTAGAAGTTGAAAGTGAAGAGGAGGGTGGGAAAATAGAGGTTGATATAGATGTATCCAAAGGGAAAGGGGTTGATGAGGTTGGTGGTAGTGGATGTAAGGGTAAAGAACTGGCAGAGGAAGAAACTGATAGGAGGATAGTTATTTACCACTCTGATTCAACACCTATTGCTAGCCATCAACCTTGTCAAAGTGCACCCTGTGGTAGCCATCAACCTTCTACCAATGCACCCATTCCTGACCATCCAACATATGACAGTACACCCATAGCTAGCCACCCACCTTCTGACAGTGATGAAGACAGTGATTATACTCCAGGGGATGATGCTCAGTCAGATGATGATGAAGAGGCTGTTGAGATAGAGAAACATTACAAGGAGGTCAAGAGGAAGGTTAAGGCAGGACAACTAGAGAACCTAGATGACATTTTTTTCTAGAGGGCTGAACCAAGAATGCAAACAGGTGGTGATGAGGCAGGGAATGAAACCCCTTATGCAGATAGTGATGAGGAGGAATCATTTGATGAACTTGGCAGCGATGGGGAGATGAGGACTAAAGGCAGCCATCAAGCAAGGTATAGCCTGCTGTATTTTGTTGTCACATTTGATATTGCAACCATTCATTTAGAACTCATCTTTCAATTAGCAACCATTCATTGACATAACTCATTCCAAATTGATAGCACAACTGATACATATATCTCACCAAACACATTGCCTTTCCAGAGCATGGCTAACACATAATTAAGGACCTGATTACAACATATTGGCCACACATCACACTGTCTCACTTCTTCCCAAACAACACCACAAACAGCACAAACATACATGACACCGCACATATTACAAAGACTTTTCTTTCCTTCTCTAACTTATGATTCCTGGCCTTCAAGCACATAATTTCTGCATTCTTCACAGCAACCACACCACGAGCATCATCTATCGCTTTACTCTGTACTTCCACCTTATCCCGACTCTGTTCGACCTCCTTTCGCATCACTTCGTTCTCCCTCCTCAACGAATTCACCCTGTCCCGCAAATCATTCAAGAGCTCCCTGATGAAGCTTGACGTCGGCCCGTCGTACCATGCCCAGAAATCACACCCCCCTTGCTGCAAGAAAAAACCCCACATTCAAACCCTAAAAACGCAAACTCAACAAATCCAACTTGTAATACCAAATCCCTCACTTACCCGAGCATTTTGGCACTTGTAATACCGGCGCCCAGGGTTGTCCGTGCTCCACGAGATCCACCTCGCCGCCTTGGCTGGTGGACGGCATTGGCACATCACCGCGGGCTGATATTCTAGCGGACCAACCCAATAACGCACGGGAGATGCCTTCAACTCACGGATAGATGACGAGCCGTCGCTCATCGAGCTCGACATCTCCGCGCCGCCGCTCGCCAAGTCACTGCCGCCGCCGCCGCCCCGCTCGGTTCCTACTTCGCTAGGGTTTCGGTGAATGGGGATAACCTAACCGCGCGCCAAATATTTCGCCCATTATATCCTAACTACCGCCCTTCTGACTCAGCGTTGAAGACCGTGGTCAATGCGCTACGTAGGACAAAACCGGGCACAATACTGCCCTGGGACCAACACTGACCCGGTTTTGATAGTTAGGGGACCCCGATGTCTGGTTTTGCGGTTTGAGGACGTTTTGGTAACTCGATGACAAGTTCAGGGACCTTTAGTGTACTTTTCCCGGGGGGGGGGGGGGGGGGCGGCCGTGGGAAGGAGAAAGAGGATTGGGCCGAAAGCAGCCCAAGAGAAAGGAGGGGAGTTTTACTTGTTTTTCTTTTTCTTTAATTGATTTGATGATGTTTGTGACTTTAAAATTACTTCTTGAGCTCCGAAAATTCGCGGGAAATTTTAGAGAGCTCATTAGGGCACAAAGAATATTACAAAATATTCTCGGCCAATGATTTTTTAAGGGAAAATTTTAATTCTCCTATTATTTCACTTGATTAAATTGATTTAACTTTTATTTAATTTCTGGAAAATACATTATTTAATGATTTTTAATCCCAAATGAAAATCAGAGCGTTACAGGTTTTGTCCCAAATGACAAATTAATTCCAACATCTAGAAGTAACATCATACCTATTCTGTTCTTACAAACATCTAATCCGATGAATAATATAACTACTACTTCATGTGATAGAATTAACTCAATTAAGCACAACACTGCTCATACCCACTATCTTCTTAATACCAGCCTCCTGCATCACCTCTCCCATTCTAGTGGCAGCATACCAGTTCCCTTCTTCTAAATACATGTTCCTAACAGTCACATACCGTCCAGGTTGCTGACCACCAAGAACTATTAGTTTCTCCCTGATCTGGGCAGAAAGCTCTATATTGCCATGGATCTTGCAAGCCCCAAGAAGTGCACCCCACACAGAATCATCAGCCATAAATGGCATCCTCTCTATAATCTGAATTGCCTCCAGAAAACGACCAGCACGGCCTAAAAGATCTACCACACACCCATAATGCACCATCATTGGAATGACCTTATATTCAGTAAACAACTCTTCGAAGAAGTCTAAGCCAGTCTCCACCAATCCTGCGCGAGCACAGGCTGTCATTACAGCAACGAATGTAATATGATTTGGCAAGAACCCTTCACTCCTCATCATCTCAAACTTAACCAGTGCTTCAGCCTCCTTCCCATGATTAGCCAATGCAGACAACAGTGCATTCCACGTACAAACCTCCTTGTCTCTTACCAAATGAAAGATATGGCTACAACAGCTAAGCTTCCCATACTTACCATACATGTCGATGAGTGCTGTGCCCAAGAACGCAGTGAACTGAACCTCATGGCGAACAACATGCCCATGAACAGCCATTCCAACCGCAAGCCCCTCCACAGCATCCAGATTAGCACAAGCTGAAAGAACGCTTACCAGTGTGGCCTCAGAAAGCCGTCCCTTATTCTGCAGCAGAAATGCCCGGAACATTTCAACAGCATCCCAGTGACACCCAATCCTCGTTAACCCAGAGATAATCGTCGTCCACGATACAACATCCCTCACCACCATACGATCAAATAAGCAGCGGGCACCATACATGTCTCCGGAGAGACACAGCACGTCAAGCATGGCATTACAGGTAGCCAAATCCGGACTAGCCATATCGTCGAACACCTTACGCGCGTCGCGCACAAGATGGCCGTCGCGGCCGTAGGCGCTGAGGAGCGAGCAGGCGACGAAGCGGTCCTCGTCTAGGCCGCGGCGGAGGCACTGCGCGTGGAGGGTCGGGGTGGCCGCGTCGAAGCTGGCGCTAGACTTGAGGAGGGAGGGGAAGGTGTGGCGGTTGGGGCGGACGCCGCGGGCGAGCATGGCGGAGAAGATCCGGAGGGGGCCCCATGGAGGAGAAGCGGAGCCGCGGAGGCGGAGGTGGGCGTGGATGAGGCAGTTGTAGGGGAAGGCGGCGGTGGCGGCCGGGTCGGGGTGCGGGAGGGAGAGCGCGCCGGAGGTGAGGAGGAGGGCGTGGAGCTGGAGGACGCGGCGCGGGGCCGAGAAGTTCTCCTGCAGGAGCAGGTCGAGGCCGGCGTACGAGCGAGCGGCGGAGGAGGTACCCCCACATGCTGCGGCTGCGAGCGAGGCAGCGTGTCTCGAGCGGGCGATCATGTAACGCTACCTGGGGGCAGGCGGGCGGCGGTGGCGCGCGGCGAGGCGGCGCTGCGGCATCATGGGGCCAAGTGAGAGCGCGCCGGGCCAAGGAGTCACAGGACGGGGCGAGGCCACAGCCAGCGCCCAGCGGGAGGCGGCGACACAGTTAAGTTAGGTCCTGTTCACTTTGATCCATTTTCAACCTTACCACATATTTTGATAAAGTTATTAAAAAAGTGGCTACATTCAGTTTGCTGCCAAATTTTGGTAACGAAATCCTGTCAATATTTTGTCAAGTTGTCAAAATTTTGGTAACTATATCAAAATTTTCGCATTGCCAAAATTTAGTAAGGTTTTTTTTTGGCAACAAATTGAACAGGCCCTTAGACGGGCCCGTGCGAATGGACTCAGAGGAGGCGTAGAGGCCCAGGTGTGTCTGTTATAAGGCCCAGTACAAATAGGTATGACGTATGGTTTCACGCCGTTCGAAGTTCGGAGGGGAGAATGTATAATAGCAGCCCCATTTTCATTTAATCGGGAATTTTCATATTTATCAATTTACCCATATTGTTTTATAGAAGGGAATTCCTTCTTTGGACATTCAAGATTAACACCAAGCCATTCATCGCCATAATTGTTACTGCTTGGAGGTGTTCTTCAAGTTAGTTAGGCATTATCTGTGAGCATCGAACAATTATGTAATGCTAGGGAAGTTTGTGAAGGTTTACCTCGTTTTCATAAGGAAAAGTGATAAATTGAGCGGAAACTAGATTTTACTGGTAGTCGCTTGGCAAAGACTAGGGTTTTTTTTTTAAAAAAAACAACTCTTTGAAGTTCCTCAATAGAGATGCAAAATCCGTGGGTCCGAACTTCAATAAACAAATCAGGTGTTTTCCTCTCTCAATACATTACCTTGTATTTTAAATTTTCCAATCTATGTATGTACTTAGTTGATTTAGTAGATAACGTTGTTTCTTGGTTATATTTCATGCTTGTCACCTCTAGGTTGTAGGAGTTTCCCAAGTTTCTTCTCTCTTCGTCCCAAAATAAATAAATCTAGTATGCAATATAACATATCTAGTATTATGTACCTGTACAGGTTTGTCACATCCCGTACTAAGTTGTTTTTGGAGATGAAGGGAGTATATAGTTTACTCGCAATATCACTTTGTTTAATATCTTGACAAGAGTGTCCGGCTTGAAGACCGGAACTTCTAGGTTTCAGATCTGAAGTTCAGCATTCATAATTGGAAGTTCTGGTCAGTACTGATCCACGGCAAAGAAAGCTCTAGAAACACACATATTCACCCTCCCCTAGGCGTTATCAACATCCTTTCAATACTTAATCATTTATTGCAACCCGCGGTCTAAACTGGATAATATTTTTACCTACATAGTAATCCAGTTAATAAAATAAAAAGATCATAGGGTGCATATGGAAATGTTCCTTGCTCTTCTTATTCTTCCATTTCTCTTTCTTTCTCTTCCATCCCACTCTCCACGCTGAGCAATGCAGTCGTGGCAAGCTCCGTGGAGACGAGCTCTAGCTAGAACTCCGTTACCTGCTTCCACCGAAATATGTCTGCCCGAGAGAGCGGTTTCAGGTTTCATAGTAGTCACTACATCTTCAACCCCAGTACCATCTTCATGAGTTTGGTGGAGCTCCATCAAGATATGCCTCCTGAGCGAGCTTGAGCTTGACATCCACATACAAGACGTTCACAAGAGTCATCTCGTCGAGCTCTGCAGAGCTCACCTTAAGTGTTGTAAATTGTCGAGACAAACCACCACCTCCGTGCTCCTCCTGTCCATCCCGAAGGCCAAATTTGAGCTGCTCGTTCCCGTGGACTAGCAAGGTGATGCCAGCCCATGTTGAACTCAATGGCAGCTATATAAAATTTCAAAAGTCGACTACCAAAATCCTTTCCTAGACAAGTGGCCTCCTCTTGTGCCTAGAAAAAAGTCTAACCGTATCCCGGTCCCATATCCAACACGAACATGGCTAGAGATAAAGTCTTATCCAATAGACTCGTAATAGTACAGTAGGCTTTACCTAATGGATGGACCAACAGATGGTGGATTGACGAACAATCGGCGAGCAGGGAGTGTGTGGTGGCTTGTGGTGTTTCTAGAAAATAAAAATAGAACATGAGCGGCATCATTAGAGGGGCACATACATAGAGGGGAAAGTGGGGTGATGGGCAAGCAAGCGAAGCGGAGAGAGAGCATGATAGGAGCTTCCCAAATTTAACGTGAATGAAGGTTAGGATAATGATCATCCTCCCAATTCAGGGGGTAGGATAGGGAGTCCCTTGAAGCAATGTTTTTACGATTTTGCTATATCTCACTTGAAAGATTTTTTCTTATCTCTCACTCGATTTTCTCACTCAAATTTACAGTGCATTTTCTTGTAAGTCACAGTGTAATTTATGAAACTTACACTGTAACTTTTGTAAGTTACACTGTAATTTTTGAATCTTCACATGTAAATTTTAAATTTTGTATTGGATTTGGTCTTTTTCTTGAGGATATGGTAATTTAGTGTCTATTATGGTGTTTCTTAATTGCTTTTTGCCTTTTATTATATCTATCGTATTTTAATTCAAAGATTAAAAATCTGTGTGATACGATCATAAAAATCTTTCGAAAGATGTATAGGTACTCCCATGTTTTTATAGTCTAAATTTCTACATAGAGTGAGGTAAGGACTCGGTCGAAAATGCTCTTAGTGCACCCTGCTAAAAGTATAGAAAACGGAAAAAGGCTGTTGGAAAAACCCCAACATGCAGGGAACTCTTTTAATCACCGAGGTGGACGTCCGCCCATTTTTTTTCATGTCATCTAAATAGTTATGAAAAAACTTTTAAAAAATTGATAAGATAGATCAATATGTAATACATCACTCTATAAACATGCAGGTTAAAATTCAACTTCTATAAATTATAACAAAAATAACACAATTAATTTGCTCCACCAGTTACAACAACATAGACCTTGTGAGAGCCAAGTAAAACAAGTGTAGATAACCTACAAAGAGTTAAAGATCTTTACAGCATATGCCACGTACCATCCAACAAATTGCATTAATCCCACCTAAAAAAATCTGTTTCATAGTCAGGCACATCCCTTTAATCCTCATGAAGAAGGGATTGGAGGGAATTAATAATAGATGTGGAATTAATTTTCTCAAATTTCCCTTAATTCTCTTGTGGATGGATGTGATTAATCGAACTAGGCCTAACAGTTGCCAATGCATTAAGGAGAGAAGGGATCGTCCACCCATGTTAATTGCTCGTACAAACCAGACCCACAGCGCGCGCGCTCGTGAAACAAATCCGTCAGCCCTAAAAATCGACGGTCACATGTTGGCCTGTTTGGCACAGCTTCAGCTCCAGCTCCACCTTTCCTGAAGCTGGAGCTCAGGCAAACAGTTTCAGCTCCACCAAAATTAGGAGTGGAGTTGGGTGGAGCTCTCTCACAAAATAAACTAGAGTTGTGGAGCTGGGTTTAGGCAGCTCCACAACTTCACTCCACAACTCCTGAAGTTAATTTGAGGAGTTGGAGCTGTACCAAACAGACCCTAAAGCTGCAAAATTTTTGGTAGGTCGCTGGTAAGTCATTTTATTTCCCTTCATAGTTGATCCTGCTTGAGGGGTGGCAATCATATTGTTTGCCACTTTTGTTGCCTGAGCTTTCTTTATTTTTATTTCATTTGCAAAATTCAAAAGAACTCCAAATTAAGAATAAAATGTGAGACATATAATAATTCAGTACTTTACCTGCCTTTAAAATTTTAAATTGGCCAAACATTTGTTTACAGGTCATGAAAAATATTTTTCATGACATCTTTAATCCTTACATACTTATACTTCACATGATACATATGCATTGTTTTTTTTGACTAAGGATACATATGCATATTATATTTGTAAGTTGCAGTCACACAAGGGACTGGCGGGTTGCAGGTGAACCCGATCCTACTTTGAAGTAGCCGGTTGCATTTGCATGTATGATACATCTCCCTCCCAACTCTGAAACATTGTGGCCGGGCTGTACGCAATTAAATAACACAGCTCGATATATCACATCGTCACTGCGCATAGTTGCACAAGCCGTAGGTGCACCTCTTGCTGCACCTGTTGGAGCAGCTGCCGCAGTTGTCCCTGTCGAAGAGCAGGTCCACGCAGCGGCCGCCGCAGCAGGTCCGCCCGTGCTTGCACGCCTTGTTGCAGCCGCCGCAGTGGTGGCCGCTGGCGGCGGTGTCCACGCACCGGCCGCCGCAGCACGTCGGCCCGGGGCTCCCCGGCGCGACTCACATGGCGGCCGACTTCTCGGAGCAGCCGTACATCGATGGGAGAGGCCGGTAGTAATAAGGATCCCCGGCACCAGCAGCCCGATGCTGATGCGCCAGAAGGAATCGGCTCCTCCCGGTCGGGATCGTGGCCATACTGGTGGTGGGCGCCGTGGCTGCTGCGGCGGCGAGCACGAGGAGGAGGAGGAGGACGGTGGCTTTAGCCATGGTGGTGGAGAGAATTGGATGAAGGTGTAGTGTGTTTTTGTGGAGACTGGAGTGATCTGTATGTGTTTCGTGTGTGGTCGTGTGGAGAGGATGCTTATATAGAGGTGAAGAAAGGAAGTCAATGCAGCTACGTGCATGCATGCAGTTGACTTCTGAAGGAAATGGGACTTCAAAGCAAGCACAACAACGGCTTCTAAAAGCAAGCTGATGGAAGATTGGAAGATATACAGTGGATGGACTCTTTAGGTTAGAAATGTTACACGAACTGAATTGATTGCTAGCTTTGTAATACTAATTCGGATACCTTGTCGGCTTGTCGTTTTGGACAACATCGCCAGATGCACTTTCGAAACCTCAAACTCCAAGTAACGATGTTGTTCTTGAATTACTTATCTTGAAATTGGATAATGAAATTAGGACAAATGCATATATTTAACTCGAAATATATATATTTTTTGAAACAACCGAAATATATATATTGAATTCTTGGGTTTTATAAAGACAGAAGTTCCTGGTCACATTCACTTCGCATTATGATTTTTGAGGAAATTCATATTTAGTGGGTCAAATATGTACTGAATGCGATGTAGTTCCTTTAATAAATTGGTTTTCAAAATTATTATAACACTAACGAAAAACTGATCGTTTCTCAAGACATGTATGATCAGCAGAGCTGCAGATGCTCTGGCTTGTATAAGACCACGGTGTACGCAATGAGCGCTAAGTAGAAGTCAACAGTAAGGCAGGCGGCCAAGTTACAGTAGCTGACAAAATTTTGAGCTCCAGAAAAGGAGGAGCTCTAAATGCAAGTAATCTTTCAAGATAAAAATGGCGGCCGTCGCTACATCCACATGCTCAGTACCATAAACTGCACATGTTGTTGATGATGACTTGAAGGGAAGGGGAATGATACTATCATAGTATTATAGAATATGATCATGAAGCTTCGTACGTGGAACACACAGGGAAGTGCCTTCCGTTCTACGACCACAAAACCATGGGAGAACAAGGATGTGATTTAGCTTCCTGCAATTGCAAGTGTTTAAACTTCTACATGTTCATCGTACTTATTTGCTGAAATTCATGTCGGCAGTAATTGGCTACTCCCTCTGTCCCATAATATAAGGGATTTTGAGTTTTTGCTTGTAGTATTTGATCACTCGTCTTATTTAAAAAAATTTATGCAAATATAAAAAACGAAAAGTTACGCGTAAAGTACTTTGAATAATAAAGTAAGTAAAAAAAGAAAATAATAATTCTAAAAGTTTTTGAATAGGACGAGTGGTCAAACAATACAAGCAAAAGCTCAAAATCCCTTATATTATGGGATGGGGGAGTAATTAATAGTACACGATTAAGTAATTGAACTCGACAACAATCGATGATTTCTCCATAAGTCAGCCATTTGATTTTTGAGTAGGATCCCACGAATCGATCAGGTACTCAATTTTATTTTGGTACACTTGGACAGGAAAAAGCAACAAATAGACTACAGGAGAAGTGGGTCTGTGCCTGGATGGCAAAAATCATATTAGTGAACCGGGACTTAAATATGTTTAGTCCCGGTTCAAAAGCCCAGTGAAATTTTTTGATCTTTAGTCTCAGTTGGTGACACCAACTGACGATACTAAAGATCATTTTTAGTCCCGGTTAAAAAAGTTAGCAGACCGTGTCAGCATGCGGGACAGTGTTGGCGGCGGGCGGCAGCGCAGGCGGGGGGGGGGGGGGGGGGCATTGGGCGGCGGTCGAGCTTCGCCTGCGTGGAGCGGACGAAGACGTGGTGGCAGGGAGAACACAGCGTCGTGGCTGATGTGGTAGCCGTGGTGGCTGAGCGCTAGAGCGAGCGCCACCACGTCGAGAGCATGCTAGTGGACACAATCTCCCTGGCCAGCGCGAAGTGGAGGATGCGCTGGATGAGGTCGTTGGAGAGCCCGGAGATGCAGTCGACGCCGTCGGCGAGGAAGAAGTTGTAGATTCTTTTATATGTTTTTATGAATTTGTGGATGATTTTGTTGTTGAGTATGTTTTTGTGAATTTGTAGATGTCAATTTGATATGGGGATTTGGGGATTTCAATTTGCAAGAAGCAAAACACAATGAACAAAAAAAAAAAACTCTAGTCCCGGTTGGTAACACCAACTGGGATTAAAGGCTAAAGATGAACATCTTTAGTCTTGGATTGGACGTCCTGGTTTGTAACCCAGGACTAAAGGGGTTACAAACCAAGACTAAATATGGGTTCCCAACTAGTGTTGGCTAGTCATTACGGTTGGAATCATAAACGATTTTCCCGAGTCCGGACTATCTGTGATGTTTTGTCTGTAAGACTGATATATGCAGTTTTTTCACGTTATATTGACATTACGGGATTAAACACTTAAGATGAAGAGGTGGGAGCTGTGCACGAGCCTCTATCTAGGGATGAAAGACAGAGTGGATACAAATAGATAATTATTGTGTCATATTCATTTTCGTATTTTTAACTCAGATATGCAAAATATTTTGAATAGTAAGGATTGAATAATATCGGATAACATGTTAGACATATTTAACAACATGTTCATCCACATGTGTCCATGTCATTCATTCGGTATCTCCTCTATGAGACATGATCATCGATGAATTCATACTTTGATCTTAGAATCATCTTTGTTTCACATGTGAAATATAATTAGGGATGCTTTAAAAACAGTAACATATCACGTAAAAAGTTTTGTGAATAAGTCATATAATCATGGATCAATAATAAGCTATATATATATAAATGAACAGAACATTTATATTATAATTGATAAACTACTAGTATATGATATGATATAATTATATCTGTGATCGTTAACCACCGTCTCCGTTTGCGCTTCGATCATGCCATTGCCAGCCAAAAGACATGCTGATGGCACCACCGTTATTGCCTGGGGTAAATTGGAAACATACCATTATAATTTTGTAAAGTTTGAGATATACCATCGGTATCTCAATGACATGTAGGACCCACATAAGTCAATGACATGTGGGTCAGGATGGCATGGTTCTAATTTTATAAAATTATAATGGCATGGTTCCAATTTTCCATGTTGCGTGCTGCCCCGGGGCAGTGTGAATCTATGAGATTAGAGAAACCGGTGCATCCCTGCTTCCACAGGCGAAGAGTGCCACAAAGTGAGTCACCACTGTTTCTTCGAACTTACGAAGTAAGCTGCAGTGCACGAACTGAACCTCTGCATCCGCCTGTCCATGTAGGTAACAATCATTTTTCCCCTCATCTGTTATCTACAATTTCTTTCTTATTTCTTTTAGAAAATTCTACAAAACTGATCCAAAACTACATAATGAAAAAAATACATATACTAGTAATTTAGTATATTTCTATTGGCACTAGAACACGCCGCCACACCTAGCATCTTGTGTGCAACCTGCAGAAACACCCGGAGACATACCACCACAGAGATTGGTTGATATATACCAGCTAGCGAACGAACACTTGAAGCAACCTCGTTAGGGTGCACATTGGTTTATCCTAGGCTCAACAGGCCAATTAGATATCCTCTAGCCCTCTAAAGATGAGAGACAACAAGCAATAGACGGATTTTGGGTAGGGGGGAGAGACGTGGGATACATGAAGAAAGGAGGGTGATGGATGCAGATCATAGAGGTATGAGTAATGGATTGGTTTTGATGCTTAATTGACCATTTTCAGTTTACCTTAATTAAGCCCCTATATTTAAGGAAGGGTTGTCTTGTGTCTACTTGGCTATTTTCACATCCTATTTTTTTTAGAAAAAGGTATTTTTTTACCCGGCCTCTACATCTAACCGGATATATGTGGCCATTTAAATTAGGAACTTAGCCCTGCAAACAACCCAATCTGAAAGTCGCTCCTATGGAGATTTGAATTTAGGACCTTAGGGTACTACTCAGGTCACTGCAACCACTAGGCTACACGTCCTTTCGTATTTTCACATCCTATTAGGTTTAGAGATCAACTAGGACTTGAGAAACCCTGATCCCAAACAAGAAAACATGAAAAAAATATAAAAAATTGGGTTCGGACCAGGGCTGAAGGTTGAACCACATTCCATTGCTTGATATGATCGCTCGAGTACCTGATCGAGGCCAAACCACAGTTCATTATATGGTCCAACCACTACACACCAGCGGTCAGACCAGTCTTTGATATGTTCGAAGGCTCTGATCCTTTCTAGAATGAAAAATTTGATAATTTGACACTTTTTTTTGTTGCCCAATTACTTTAATTGACATTTGTGAGGATGACATGTGGGACCATCTGAGTGAATGAACGTGGGCCAGGATGTCAAATAATCGAAACCCATTAAAAAAAGTGTTAAATTATCAAATCTCTCTTCTAGAATGAGCCTAAATTTGATGTAGTCCAAGTTTGGCTATCAACAGCCATCTCCCATCAAGAATTTAAACTTGGAGACATATTTGTGTATAGAAGTAATAGGATATCACTCTCATGACATCATTAATCATTATATTAACGGTGGACACTTCTCGTGACAATATATATTTTGTGGTGTTTACGTGATACATTTTCCTCCAGCGTATACGATGCAGTGTAGGCTGTGCGCAACACAGCGCATGTCTTGAACTCTTAATAATCACACACAGCTTGATCTCCTCGAGTATGCATGCATGTCGTTGTCAAATGGCGTAGTCGCAGAAGCCGTATGTGCACTTGTTGCTGCACTGGTTGGAGCAGCTGCCGCAGTTGTCCCTGTCGGACAGCAGGTCCACGCACCGCCCGCCGCAGCAGCTCCGCCCGTGCTTGCACGCCTTGTTGCAGCCGCCGCAGTGTTCACCGCTGGCGCCGGTGTCCACGCACCGCCCGCCGCAGCACGTCGCGCCGGGGCTCCCCGCCGCGAGGCAGACGGCGGCGGCCGACTTCTTGGAGCAGCTGTAGTAGTAGTAGGGATCGGCACCCTGCCCCTGCTGCGTCATGAGAAACCGGCTTTTCCTTATCCCGACCGGAGCCGTGCTTGCGCTGGTGGCCGCCATGGCTGCGGTGGCGGCAGCGAGCACCAGGAAGAGAAGGATGGTGGCCTTTGCCATTGCAGGAAGGTCGAGATCGAACTAATCGCGATCGATCGGTTGTAAAAATGGTGGTGTTCAGGCGAAGAGGTTGGGGGAGACGTGTAGTGTGTTTGTGTGGAGAGAATGTCTTTGGAAGTGGCATGATTATATAGAGGGAGAAGAAAGGAAGTCAACCGGCCTAGCAGGTAGCTCTCCTGCTATAGCTTCATGCTAGCATGCATGCAGTTGACTTTTGATTGAAATGGGACTTCAAAGCAAGGATAACAACGGCCTTTTCTTGTAGAAAACAAACAAAAAAAAAAGGGATTGAAACTAAGGTTTCAAGTACGTACAGTGTATGAAGTGCGTATGAGATCAAGGGGTTCGTGGGTTTAGAAATGTCACCAAAAAATTGCATGTTTTTCACTCCAAACACTTGTCATTTTGGACGCATATCAACATAAGTTTTTGAAACTCTGTAGTATCAATATAATTTTAAATATTCATATTGGATTCATAAAAGTCATATAGCTAGCTATATTTATCTTGATTATTGAGATTTTACCGTGTTTTATAAAGTCATTAACTTTTCCTTGCAAACACATAAAGACGTAGAAATCACAAATCAGTGGTGAAATGCACATTTATCGAGGTTATACCGCTATAAACGAGGAATGCTTTTATTTACAATGGACAGTATATATATGCCACCAAGATTCCTCGTTTTTCTGGACATGCATCGTATCGTTTACTCCTATGTTGCATAATCCTATGGGGAAAGGACGGGAAAGGATAGGGAATGTATCGATCGGATATGTGGGCGAGAACGAAAGAGGCGTTGTACTTTGTACGGCGAGCTGGTCCCAGTGCTCCTCTCCCTCTTCTAAGAAACTTACGGTGGGTCCAGGTGTATTTCGAGCGCGCTTTTAAAAAAAATAAATACGATGCTAACCTATATATACATTATTGTCCGATACTGGAAAAGGTGTGCACGAATCTTAAAGACATCGTGTGGATGCTGGCCTAGGTGCTACGCGCGTTAAAAGGACTTTCGGAATCCTATGGCGCTAGCTGATGCTCTCTGCCTTCTACACAGGACAACAGGCAAATTATGCAATATTAAGACATGCCGCAAAGTTGTGGGCCTTGTGGCAGCTTGAAGACAACAAAAGGTTCAGCTCCAGAAAAGGAGGAAATGAAACAATGCAAGCAATATTTTCGTAAGAAAATATATGATGGCCGTCGCCATATGCACAGTACCCATATATAAACTACACATGTTTATTGATGGTGTCTTCAAAGGGCAGGCATGATATAATATGATCATAAACTATAATTACTGCGTGGAACGCATATAGAGAAGTGGCTTCCATTCTACACCCTCAAAACCACCATGCGATCTAGCTTCCTGCAGCTATAAGTGCTTAAACTTCTCATGATTCATCGTATCTATTGCCCAAGATTCATGCCGGCCGGCCGGCGACTGGGTTATTTTATACTCCATGAATAATTAAGTCACTGAACTCTCGAGCACTCATTAATTCTGTGACTCGATCAGCTACTAAGTGTGGAGATTATGGTTACCCCATATCTACATGGCGGTTATATTCCAGCTGGATATACGGTACCAAATATAGATAGAATATCTTTATGAGGACTCGGGTTAGATTCTAAACTTGTATGTCAAGAAAATACCTGGGATCCTAGTCGGTTACGATTGTATTTTATCTGTAATCCCATATTCCGTTAGGATATGGACTGTACTTTGTATTACGGATCCCTTCCCCTATATAAGGAGGGGTCCGGGTTCCTCTCGGGGCGATTTTCTTTCTCCCAATTATACAATCAATAACACACTCGGCGGAATTATCACCGGACAGGAGTAGGGTGTTACTTCTTGAATAAGAAGGCCTGAACCTGTATAAAATCTCTTGTCTCCAAACCCATCCACTTTCCTAGCTTGATAGCCACCCCCTTTTATTATTGCCGAAATCTTGTTTCGACAGTTGGCGCGCCAGGTAGGGGCGTCAAGTTCTCGCCGACTAAGTGCGATGGGTTTCGTTTCTGGCATCGACGACTTCGCCTTTCCTCCCGGGCAGGCGTTCCGGTTCGGCAGCCTCAACTTCATCACCAACGACTTCAGCAAGATCTCTCTCCTTGACTCGGATTCAAACCAATCGGGGAGAGACCAGGTCCCCGTGCCGTTCGGTATTCCGAACTCGGCCGAGGCCTACTCCAAGATCATCTCTCCCGAGTCGGCTTCAAACCACTCGGATGAGATCCAATCTACTCTTCCGCGACCAGATCAAGACGACAGGTCCTATCCCTCAATCCTGATGAAACTTCCTGATGATTTGGCCGCTGTCTTCATAGTCAAGACATCTCCCACTCGAAGATCTAGGCGAGCTCCGGCTCCGGCCCCGATCCGATCTAGATTCAGGGAGGTTGGCGTTATACTCCAACCTCTCGGGACAGTCTCGACGGAAGAGTTGGATGGCTACCTCAGCTCCCCCGGCGTCAGTTCTCAACCAACCGAGACCCTCGACTACGACGATTTCGGCTACCACTACGACCACGGCGACCTCGACAACTTCGACGACAGCTATGAGGATAACTACACGCCCCTCTTCTTCGGCGTATTCATGGCTGACAACGAAACGGAGGAACAGCGCCAAGCCCGAGAAGCGGACCAAGATCGCGCACGGCAAGAAGCCGAACGTCGCCGACTGGAGGAAGAGCGACAGCGACAAGAGCGAGAACGACTACAGCGTGAGCAGCAAGATCGCGAGCGGATTGCAAAGGAGGCTGAAGATCGATGACAACGCGCCTTGGAATCTGGGCGGCGAGCGAGAGAGCTCATTGGGCAACAAGACGTCGATGGGACAGCGGTCTTTCGCACCCCCCAGCAGAATGCGGTTGCAGCAATCACTCTCCTCGACACCCTCCTCAAGGAAGACGCACTCAACCAAGCTGATCATGTTGTCAACATCTTGAACCAGACGAAGACCATGATCGCTGCCTCGGTTCCAGCCAACTCCGCAAGCACCCGCACCCCGACTGGTAGCCGAGTCCCTCACCTCCAATCTCATGATTATCATCAGCCAAGCCTCAGCATCATCGGCACAGGATCTAGTCGCAGGAGCAGGGGTCACGACGAACGATCTGTTCACTCGCCTCCCGAACATCACAGGGAGCGCCGAGTCGAACGGCCTCGCTCTCCACCTCACCGGCGTCCCGTCGACCTTCGCGACACGATCAACCAGCGCCGTGCAGCACGAGGTCACCACCATTCACCAAATCGCTACGACGACGACGTGGATGGAGTAGCTGCCTTCACTAATGACCTGCGTCGAGTGGATTGGCCAGCCGGCTTTAAGCCGACTGGAATCGAGAAGTATGACGGCACCACTAATCCGGAGTCTTGGCTCACCGTCTACGGACTCGCAATCTGCGCAGCAGGAGGAGACAGCAAGGCCATGGCAAACTATCTACCTGTGGCCCTAGCAGACTCCGCCCGATCCTGGCTCCACGGACTACCCCGTGGCACGATCGGATCATGGGCGGAACTTCGTGATCACTTCATCGCCAACTTCCAGGGCACCTTTGAACGCCCCGGCACACAGTTTGATCTCTACAACGTCGTCTAGAAGTCTGGAGAATCCCTTCGAGATTACATCCGATGCTTCTCCGAACAACGCAACAAGATCTCCGACATCATCGACGACGTCATCATCGCCGCATTCACTAAAGGCATTCGTCACGAGGACCTAGTCGGCAAGTTCGGACGTAAACCTCTCAGGACGGTTAAGCAGATGTTCGAAAAAGCCAACGAGTATGCCAAAGCCGAAGATGCTATCACCATGTCCAAACAGTCGGGCACCACTTGGAAGCCAAAGAAGGACACGCCGACTGCAGGAGGGAGTGGAAGTAACAACCACAAGGATCGCAAGCGTAAGCCCGAAGAACTTGTGGCGACCACCTCTCCATCTTCCCAACAACGTTCCCGCGTCAACATCTTCGACAAGATAATGAACTCCCAATGTCCGCATCATCCCAACTCCAACCACGTGGCCAAAGATTGCTTCGTCTACAAACAGTTCGCGGAGCAATACGTCAAGAACGCACGTAAACCTTCAGACGGAGATCAAGGCACATCAAAGAAGAAAGATGATGAAGACGATGCCCCGACTGGTTTTCAAGATCATCGCAAAGAACTTAATCACATCTTCGGCGGACCCCTGGCTTATGAGTCTAAGAGAAAACAGAAGCTAACAGAACGGGAGATCAATGCGGTTCAGCCTAACACGCCCTAATATCTTCGGTGGTCAGAGATAGCAATTAAGTTCGACCGCTCGGATCATCCCGACCGAGTGGTCCACCCGGGGCGGTACCCCCGGTACTAGACCCAGTGATTCGCGATGTCAAGCTCCAACGGACCCTCATCGATGGTGGCAACACACTCAATATCCTTTTTGCTAAGACCCTGGACGATATGCAGATTCCTCGCACGGAATTAAAGCCGAGTAATGCACCCTTCCACAGTGTTATCCCAGGATTGTCAGCTACACCACTTGGCCAAATCACTCTTCTAGTTACCTTCGGCACTCGGGAGAATTTTCGCACCGAAAATGTTTTTTCGAAGTTGCTGATTTTGAGACAGCATATCATGCTATACTCGGATGACCGGCTCTAGCCAAATTCATGGCTGTCCCACACTACACCTACATGATGATGAAGATGCCTGGTCCTCGAGGGGTCATATCACTACGGAGCGACATCAAGCAAGCCGTCACATGTGACAAAGAAAGTTGCGAGATGGCCCAAACTCACGAGACTACTCTCGCTCGCGAAGAGATCCAACTGGCTGCGACCATGGCAAGCGAGGGAGAAGTGCCTGCAACCAAGCTGACGAAGACCGAAGAAAGTGATGCCAAGACGAAAAAGATTCCCTTAGATCCCTCCGATCCTGATAAGACTGCTGTAATAGGCGCTGAGTTAGATTGTAAATAGGAAAGCGCGCTCATCACCTTTCTTCAGAATAATAAAGATATTTTTGCGTGGAAACCATCCGATATGCCTGGTATCCCCAGAGAGGTGATTGAGCACTCTTTACATGTTAAGGA